TAAATTAGACTAGGTATCTAGCCCCAAGGGCTCTCAGTTAAAAAATAGTAGAGGTGAGTTATATTTTCCCATAGTGCTTGAGGTTTCCCTAAAAGCTTCTACAACACCTTCACCCGGGTGTTTAGCCCCAAGGAATCCATGAACATGTACTTTCATAGCACCTAAGGTCTCCCCAACAGTCTACAACACCTTTAACAGGGTGGTTAGCGCCCAAGAAATCTCAGATGAAAATGAATATTCTGATATTTTTTCACATTTTACTGTCTCCCCACTAGCCTCTACAACTACTGTGCCTTGCGTTGATCTCTGTATTCTTTCTTGTCTATCAGTCAGTTTAATGAGCTTCAGTTCATTGTAGCAGTTTTCAATCATGGGTACCCCATCAACTCTACGCACACACTTCTAATTACTTTTTAAATACTTTATATCATTATAAATGTCAGTAATGAAAAGCAAAGACTCAGCAATCTGTCAATGAAGAAATTATATCTTTATCACCAACAATCAATGCAATGATGGTTATCTTTATCAGCAACAATATGTCAATGAAGAAATGATATCTTTATCAGCAACAATCAATGCAATGATGGTTATCTTTATCAGCAACAATCTGTCAATGAAGAAATTATATCTTTATCACCAACAATCAATGCAATGATGGTTATCTTTATCAGCAACAATCTGTCAATGAAGAAATGATATCTTTATCACCAACAATCAATGCAATGATGGTTATCTTTATCAGCAACAATCTGTCAATGAAGAAATGATATCTTTATCACCAACAATCTGTCAATGAAGAAATGATATCTTTATCACCAACAATCTGTCAATGAAGAAATGATATCTTTATCACCAACAATCAATGCAATGATGGATTTCTGTTCTTGAACCACAACTAATTTAAAGTTGACAGCTGATTATGTTACTTAATAATTAAAATGTCCAAAGAAGTACATTTTCAAATGATACTTTAAATACTTTGTAATACTAAAAAAAATTCCACCTTAATGAGTATTAAAGTCGAGAGAACTATATAAATTTTTTTTAAATTAATTTATTAACCAGTTTAATTATTTGTCAATACTATAAATCACCATCAATTGTTTCCTTTCAAATTATTAAAAAAATTCAAATTGAAAAATCAGATTAATGTTATATTTTGTCTTGAATTAAATTACACTATTAGATCAATCAATCAATCAATCAATCAATCAATCAATCAATCAATCAATCAATCAGGTGCCATCTCCACAATGAAGGTTGGCTGCAATGGATCTCCAACAAGCCCTGTCTCTTGCCCTTGATGTACACTCACTCATACTGCTGTTCGTCCATCTCTTGATGTTATCCTCCCACTTGTGGCGCTGTGATTGCGGTCACAGGCATGAGGCAAAGTTAAGTCTGATGTGAGTGGTGCCAGTCCTTCACTGTTCTGGTTTTACGGAACCTCATGCAAGACTCTTGCTGCACGTCCCCGTCGTGCGCCACGGATAATGTCTAAAATGAGCATTAACAGAGTTGGCAGGGGATCTCGGAGCTGGCGGCCCCTAGAGGTGTAGTGTCCTTTCTGGCTCTCACCAGCCCGCCCCCAAACGCATGGGTGAAAAGTCTAACAAAACTCAAGAATTGCTTGCTAAATGTACCATCAAATGACAACTCTTGGTTAAAATTCGGGAGTGAATGGAAAACTTTGCTGCTGAGACTCAACCCTGACCGAGAGATTTACCCGCAGCCAAGACGAGTAACATCTCTTGTGGGCGACTTCTCGCAGCAAGATCCTACCTACGTACATCCTCAATCCTCAGTGTCGTCATCACCGCGCTGAGGTACACCACGGCAGCAACTTTTCATACGCTGGCTTGGAAATAATGTCCGACAAAGTTATACCCCACGGCACACATGCAAGCTCAAAGTCCGACAATCATAATTCGTACCGATTAGGAAAAGTCCGAATGTCCGTATCCACTGGTCCAACTCGCCCAAGTGTTGGGACCAAACAGGTGAAGCCACGCCTGACGCATTTTGCTTCCCCATTCTGTCGTGCTAAGGGCACAGCTGAAACAACGTTAAAGGTGTCTAACGTAAGATGAAAAAGAATGTACCTATTTGTGTGGCCACAAACGTTCTAGAACTGCGGGCTGCCCCCCGCTGTTCTCCGGAGAGCGCAGCCTTGTAGAGCGGGAAGCTCAATACACGGTTGCGAGGTTAAGCAGTCATGGGCAGGACGTGACGATTCCTTGGGTGAGCCCAGACCCAGAGCATCATGCGTTGGCTCTGCATTTATGGAAGCCTCCTTGGATGGCGGGGAATGCCCATTATCTGCCCCTGCCTTCCCTTGAGGACTGAAAACTCTACATAGAGCTGCCTCAAGGACGACATTCCGGGGGCCACACCTGTTAAAAGTCAAAGAGGACACCACACAAATGAGGCAACATCTCGACCCACACAAAACAATGGCCACAGTCAACCTAGAAATAGGCTTGACGTCTTCCTCCGAAGTCGGGAGTACATCTGCCGGAGAGGCGGGGAACGAGAACTGCAAACAAATAAGCCAGTAAAACGGATGTACACGCAAAACTCAGGTCAAGGTAAAAGCCAAAAGTCCATTTTGGACGAACAACCGCGACTTACCGCCGGAATTCACAGCCGGTGAACAAGAAGAAGAAGAAGAAGAATCCTCCCACTTGTAACGCTGTCTGCCTCTTGCCCGCCTACCTTGAACCTTTCCCTCTAGGATGATCTTTACACGCTATTAGATGGTGTGATATTATTTAAAAAAAAAAACAATATCACATTCTGAAAATCAGAACCAATCCAATCATCAGATAAAGTAATACCATGTCTGTACCACAACATATAAATTACGATTTTCAGTTTTATTCTACAGAAAATTGAAAATTATATTTTTCAAATGGATTATAAGATTGTTGTAATTTAGTAATGACATTGTATTAACTTCTCTAACTATGACAGATCTATATTAAAGATGACATTATCCTGCAAGTCTATGATCTCACTAACTGTGACAGATCTATACTAAAGACAACATTATCCTGCAAGTCTAGGATCTCTCTAACTATGACAGAGCTATACTAAAGAAGACATTATCCTGCAAGTCTATGATCTCTCTAACTTTGACAGATCTATACTAAAGTCAACATTATCCTGCAAGTCTATGATCTCTCTAACTATGACAGATCTATACTAAAGAAGACATTATCCTGCAAGTCTATGATCTCTCTAACTATGACAGAGCTATACTAAAGAAGACATTATCCTGCAAGTCTATGAACTCTCTAACTGTGACAGATCTATACTAAAGAAGACATTATCCTGCAAGTCTATGAACTCTCTAACTGTGACAGATCTATACTTAAGATGACATTATCCTGCAAGTCTATGAACTCTCTAACTGTGACAGATCTATACTTAAGATGACATTATCCTGCAAGTCTATGAACTCTCTAACTGTGACAGATCTATACTTAAGATGACATTATCCTGCAAGTCTCTGATCTCTCTAACTATGACAGAGCTATACTAAAGAAGACATTATCCTGCAAGTCTATGATCTCTCTAACTTTGACAGATCTATACTAAAGTCAACATTATCCTGCAAGTCTATGATCTCTCTAACTTTGACAGATCTATACTAAAGTCAACATTATCCTGCAAGTCTATGAACTCTCTAACTATGACAGAGCTATACTAAAGAAGACATTATCCTGCAAGTCTATGATCTCTCTAACTATGACAGAGCTATACTAAAGAAGACATTATCCTGCAAGTCTATGATCTCTCTAACTATGACAGAGCTATACTAAAGAAGACATTATCCTGCAAGTCTATGATCTAACTATGACAGAGCTATACTAAAGAAGACATAATCCTGCAAGTCTATGATCTCTCTAACTGTGACAGATCTATACTAAAGAAGACATTATCCTGCAAGTCTATGATCTAACTATGACAGATCTATACTAAAGAAGACATTATCCTGCAAGTCTATGATCTCTCTAACTGTGACAGATCTATACTAAAGAAGACATTATCCTGCAAGTCTATGATCTAACTATGACAGATCTATACTAAAGAAGACATTATCCTGCAAGTCTATGATCTAACTATGACAGATCTATACTAAAGAAGACATTATCCTGCAAGTCTATGATCTAACTATGACAGATCTATACTAAAGAAGACATTATCCTGCAAGTCTATGAACTCTCTAACTGTGACAGATCTATACTAAAGATGACATTATACTGCACGTCTATGATCTCTCTAACTGTGACAGATCTATACTAAAGAAGACATTATCCTGCAAGTCTATGATCTAACTATGACAGAGCTATACTAAAGAAGACATTATCCTGCAAGTCTATGAACTCTCTAAATGTGACAGATCTATACTTAAGAAGACATTATCCTGCAAGTCTATGATCTCTCTAACTGTGACAGATCTATACTTAAGAAGACATTATCCTGCAAGTCTATGAACTCTCTAACTATGACAGAGCTATACTAAAGAAGACATTATCCTGCAAGTCTATGATCTCTCTAACTGTCACAGATCTATACTAAAGAAGACATTATCCTGCAAGTCTATGATCTCTCTAACTGTCACAGATCTATACTAAAGATGACATTATACTGCACGTCTATGAACTCTCTAACTGTGACAGATCTATACTAAAGAAGACATTATACTGCACGTCTATGAACTCTCTAACTGTAACAGATCTATACTAAAGATGACATTATACTGCACGTCTATGAACTCTCTAACTGTGACAGATCTATACTAAAGAAGACATTATCCTGCAAGTCTATGATCTCTCTAACTATGACAGAGCTATACTAAAGATGACATTATACTGCAAGTCTATGATCTCTCTAACTATGACAGATCTATACTAAAGATGACATTATACTGCACGTCTATGATCTCTCTAACTATGACAGAGCTATACTAAAGAAGACATTATCCTGCAAGTCTATGATCTCTCTAACTGTGACAGATCTATACTAAAGACAACATTATCCTGCAAGTCCAGATGAACCTTAGACAAGTGAGCCTTCAAGCGCAACATGCGAGTGCACGTGAACTCACATAACACACATCGGTACTTTTTCTTCTTGGATACTCTGACTGCAGACTTGGTGTTTGTGTCCCTGTCATGTGTCAACATGTGTTTCCTTAACTGGATGGCTCGTATACAAGAGTAGGCACATTGGGGGCATTGGTGGGGCTTCTGCTCTGAGTGGGTCAGCATGTGTTCTCTGAAGTCTGCAGCCCGGTTGCCAGCATAATTACACAGGCTACAGTTGAAGCGGTGCCTCTGTTCATGTTTGGACAACATGTGAACCCTCAGACTGTCCTCCTTCTTATACTTGGCATTACAGACAGAGCAGCAGAACGGGTACTGGTAGCTGTGCTGCAGCTGGTGGATGTTCATCTGCTGCTGCTGGACACAGCTGTAGCTGCAGTACTGGCACTGGATCGGCTTCTGGCCATGGCTGAATTTATGTTTCTTCAGCAGGTAGGCCGACCTGCAAGCCACCTGACACAAGTCACACTGATAGAGATTGTCACCGAGATGTTTAGCCAGGTGAGACTTGAGGCCTGCAGCACTTTTACAGGTGTAGTCACACTGTGTACACTGGTACACGGTGCTCTCTGCGTTGGTGTGTGTCCTCAGGTGCTGGTGTAGCGTACCCTTACTCTTGCAGGCATACTCACACAACTCACACTGAAATGTCTTCTGGTCTGTGTGAACAAGCAAATGTTTTTTCATTCGTGAAAACTCATCACACATATACTCACAATGGGCACACTTGTAGTTTTTCACTAGGGCATGTTTTCTCACATGTTTTTTGAAAGTGGACTTGTAATCACAGGAGAACTGGCAGCGGTTGCAGTGGTACATCTTGGCTGTGGAGTGATGTCTCACTGGTGCTTCCTGGTCATCTGGCAGCTGATCGCTAACATGGAGAGACAGACCTGTCTCTTCCTGCCTGTCTGCCGCAGCAGTCAGCTCCATGGGCAGCTCAATTTCTTGCTTGATAATCTCCAACGGTGGAAGCTGCTGATTGTCTTCACTGACCACCGCCACTAGGCAGTTCTGAGTTGGCCCCAGGGTCACATGATCCAATGTTACATGGTCTAGTGTCAACATGGCCAAGTCGTGGACAGCAAAGTGTTGCTGCCAGTCTATAACCTCAGTACTCCATGAGTGAATGTCAGAACAAACAAGTCCCTCTTCATTCTGATTTGTTGCCAGCTCCTCCGGCTGGCTGACAGTTGTAAATATAATAGCTGGATGCTCCGAGGAGTGAAATATCTGCGGACGGTTGGCAGACTGTGAAAATATCTGAGCAGGTGCAGCCATGAGCAGGGTCTCACCACCAGCTGTTACGGGAACTTTGTCATCAACAGCAGACAGTTGCTGAGAGTCCTTGACCTGATGTGAAGCAGGTGGCAAACTGGCGACTGAGTGCAGGTGATCAGAGACAGAAACCTGGCCAGGTGTGTGAGTGAGTTTATGTTCTTCCAGAGTAGAGGCATCACTGCAGCAGAACTGGCATGTGCTGCAAGTGTAGGAGTGCAGACGCACGTGTGACTCTTGATGTTTCTTTAAACGAGATGCAACTGTGCAAACATAGTCACAAGAATCACAGTGCAGGATGCTCTTGTCCAGACTTGACAATAGGGTCTCAGTCTCACCACCAACCACCTTGCCCCTGTGGACCAGCATGTGGGCTCGGAGACGAGACTGGCGGATACAAGAATAGCTGCAGTAAGGACATCTGATGGGCCTGGACTTGGAGTGAATGAACAGGTGGCGCCGAAAATCAGCATACCTGTTGCTGACATACTTGCAGTCTAAACATCTGAATTTGTGCATGTTGGAATGAGTCAGTGTGTGAACTTTCAAGCCTGCTTCTTTTTTGTAAGTAGCTGGACACAAGGTGCAGCGGAATGGGGTCTCAGTCTCATGCAACAGCAAGTGTGCCTTCAGCTGGAAGTTCTGTATACAAGTGTACTCACACTTAGGGCACTGGATTGGCTTGGTCTGGCTATGTGTCAGGATGTGAGTTTTGAGGTTTCTCTCTCTGTGGCAGGCATAGTTACAGTGTGCACATTTGTACTCCTTCATGTCGGAATGAATTTTCCTGTGTTCTCTTAAATTAGTTGATGTTTTGAACATGGCTGAACAGATATCACACAGAAACCGTTTTTCTTGCTCTCCATTTCTGTCAGTTTTCCTGACCAGTTTGTCAGTTATCCTGGCCAGTTTGTCAGTTTTGAAAGCCTGGTCTGTGTTTGACCTGGTCACTCTGGAGCTATGTAGAGTCACATTTTTCTCACAATCTGTTTGTCCACACCTACTGGGCTGGAATCTTAGCTTGAAATTGTCTACATCATTCTGATTGACCGATATCAATTGTTGTCTCCGTGTATTGTTTGCATTTAGCTTCAATTTTCTGGGCAACATTTTACGTTTAAAACTGTCAACATCTGAAACTAGAGATGGAGAAACTGTGGTCTTGTGGGATCTCATGATGCTGGTTTGATGGCAAGTCACAATCTGGGCTGGCTGTCCTTGTGCAAGCTGTTGTGTCTACAGTCTGGGCTGCCTGTCCTTGTGCAAGCTGTTGTGTCTTCAGTCTGGGCTGCCTGTCCTTGTGCAAGCTGTTGTGTCTACAGTCTGGGCTGCCTGTCCTTGTGCAAGCTGTTGTGTCTTCAGTCTGGGCTGCCTGTCCTTGTGCAAGCTGTTGTGTCTACAGTCTGGGCTGCCTGTCCTTGTGCAAGCTGTTGTGTCTACAGTCTGGGCTGCCTGTCCTTGTGCAAGCTGTTGTGTCTACAGTCTGGGCTGCCTGTCCTTGTGCAAGCTGTTGTGTCCACAGTCTGGGCTGCATGTCCTTGTGCAAGCTGTTGTGTCCACAGTCTGGGCTGCATGTACTTGTGCAAGCTGTTGTGTCCACAGTCTGGGCTGCCTGTCCTTGTGCAAGCTGTTGTGTCCACAGTCTGGGCTGCCTGTCCTTGTGCAAGCTGTTGTGTCCACAGTCTGGGCTGCCTGTCCTTGTGCAAGCTGTTGTGTCTACAGTCTGGGCCTGTGGACATAAAAATGGTTAGCAATATTAAAACAGAGCCAATACAATAGCTGCTTCAGCAAATCCTTTTGTTTTTCAGCATCACCATGTTGTGCCACTAGATGTTACACGGGCCTTGCAGGTTATTCCTTTTTTTTTTTTTTTTTCATCGAACACCGGCTGTGAATTCCAGTGGAAGGTCCCGGTTAATCGTCCGCTTGGACTTTTGGCTTTCACCTGGACCTGATTTTTGCGTGTACAACCGTTTTTCATTTCCCTGCCTCTTGGGCAGCTGTACGCCGGCTTCGAAGGAAGGTTATTCCTTCATTCAGTTCTATTTCATGCACTTGTTTCAATGTCATTTTTGGAATCCAGTTTAACAACCTGAACCTCAATCATCAAGGTTTGTTTTGGGGTTTCTCTTGAAAGTACCCATTTCATCAATTCCTTTTTCGGTCTCTCTCCCATTTCAGAACCTGTTTGGTAATTATTTGCTCCCTTCTCAGAATGTGCCAAACAGAGCGCCATCTTTATAGTCTACTAACTGTCGATAAAAGTGGTTGTTGAGACATTTCTTTGATTTCTGCACCATTATTGAACTGCTCCCAAATTAACTTATTACAGACCAGATTGGGTGACTTCAGCATAAACAGTCAATATTCAAGTTCAATGATGGACGTCTGAGCTTTTAGGAGTGACCACATCTTATGTGTGGGAAAACTGAAGCTGAAAAATAACTGCAGAGGAAATGTACATCCAGTCACAGACCTTGCAATGAAAATTGAGGACAAGAATCACAGCAAGAACTGGCAAAGGGATCTGAAGTATGTGAGGAGGAAGAAGATCACAGCATTCAAGTTAAATGGAATTATGCCAAGATCACAATTTTAGAAACAGCTAAATTTAGTGTAGGACTCAATTATTATGATAAAAAGATAAAGTCGGGAGATATGAACCAGAGTAATTGCACACGGTTATAAACCATAAGTGCTCTTCCACCAGTACAGACAGCAGATAAGAAACTGTCCGCCTGTGTTGCCATCTGCACGCAACACCGTAGCTACAGCAACGTTCCTCCATTTACCCCAGAGAGTTAACTCTGGTGCCCTAGAGGCTGGGTGAACCCCGGGGAACCGCCTGGTTTCAAACAAAGGCCGTGGGCTGCAGCGAGTCGCAGCTGGATTTGAAAGCGATGCCTCCTATCGACTGCGTTAACACGGCCCCCAAATTAGTATGATAAGTGATGACACATGGCAGTACATTCAGGAAATAACAACACTGATAGAAAACACTGGATAAGTGATGATACATGGCAGTACATTCAGGAAATAACAACACTGATAGAAAACACTGGATAAGTGATGATACATGGCAGTACATTCATGATAAATAACATTCAGGAAATAACAACACTGATAGAAAACACTGGATAAGTGATGACACATGGCAGTACATTCAGGAAATAACAACACTGATAGAAAACACTGGATAAGTGATGATACATGGCAGTACATTCAGGAAATAACAACACTGATAGAAAACACTGGATAAGTGATGATACATGGCAGTACATTCAGGAAATAACAACACTGATAGAAAACACTGGATAAGTGATGATACATGGCAGTACATTCAGGAAATAACAACACTGATAGAAAACACTGGATAAGTGATGATACATAGCAGTACATTCAGGAAATAACAACACTGATAGAAAACACTGGATAAGTGATGATACATGGCAGTACATTCAGGAAATAACAACACTGATAGAAAACACTGGATAAGTGATGATACATGGCAGTACATTCAGGAAATAACAACACTGATAGAAAACACTGGATAAGTGATGATACATGGCAGTACATTCAGGAAATAACAACACTGATAGAAAACACTGGATAAGTGATGATACATAGCAGTACATTCAGGAAATAACAACACTGATAGAAAAACACTGGATAAGTGATGATACATGGGCAGTACATTCAGGAAATAACAACACTGATAGAAAACACTGGATAAGTGATGACACATGGCAGTACATTCAGGAAATAACAACACTGATAGAAAACACTGGATAAGTGATGATACATGGCAGTACATTCAGGAAATAACAACACTGATAGAAAACACTGGATAAGTGATGATACATGGCAGTACATTCAGGAAATAACAACACTGATAGAAAACACTGGATAAGTGATGATACATGGCAGTACATTCAGGAAATAACAACACTGATAGAAAACACTGGATAAGTGATGATACATAGCAGTACATTCAGGAAATAACAACACTGATAGAAAACACTGGATAAGTGATGATACATGGCAGTACATTCAGGAAATAACAACACTGATAGAAAACACTGGATAAGTGATGATACATGGCAGTACATTCAGGAAATAACAACACTGATAGAAAACACTGGATAAGTGATGATACATGGCAGTACATTCAGGAAATAACAACACTGATAGAAAACACTGGATAAGTGATGATACATGGCAGTACATTCAGGATAGAACAATGGTGAAATTTGTTAGATGTGATGCTTACAGAATAAAACAAAAAAATCAGGGGTAAAGAAGATTACAGTAAGAAAAAAAAAAATATTTTTAAAAAGTTTATGATAAGAGAGAATATGGTGACAGACTAGAAAAAGAAGTAGACTAAGGCAAGAAAGATAAACAAATAAAAGTTCTGCAAGGTGAGATAAGAGAGAATATGGTGACAGACTAGAAAGAGAAGTAGACTAAAGCAAGAAAGATAAACAAATAAAAGTTCTGCAAGATGAGATAAGAGAGAATATGGAGACAGACTAGAAAGAGAAGTAGACTAAAGCAAGAAAGATAAACAAATAAAAGTTCTGCAAGGTGAGATAAGAGAGAATATGGAGACAGACTAGAAAGAGAAGTAGACTAAAGCAAGAAAGATAAACAAATAAAAGTTCTGCAAGGTGAGAAAAGACTTCACTGTAGTAGTTTCCACTGTTAGAATGTTGACATCATCAGGTGCCTTGTCGACTGGCGTGGGCGATCATCATGCCTCTCCACAATCTGCGATCTCCTGCAGCATGTATTCGTTCGTGTGCTGACACACCTCCATGCCATGCAACAAGACTGTCAAGAATCTTCTATCGTTGTTTTCCTTTATCCCTCCTTCCATAGATCTTTCCAGTGGTCACCACATGTTCCACTTTACCTGGTGTAAGGTAACCACTATTCGTATTCGGCCCGACCGCAACTATTCGGTCAAATACCGATTAGTTATTAGGTCCACAATTCGGCCCCGAAGTGAATACGAAGCGAATATTCGGTACAGCCCTACTAAATACATATATACTATACTGACTACATATATATACTATACTGTCTACATATATACTATACCGACTACATATATCCTATACTGACAACTTATATACTATACCGACTACAAATATCCTATACTGAAAACTTATATACTATACCGACTACATATATCCTATACTGACAACTTACAAACTATACTGACTACATATATCCTATACTGACAACTTATATACTATACTGACTACATATATTTGTAAAATACAATTAGCTTTTCAGTGAGGCCTGGCTACCACAACTGTCCTGACATAGTTGCTAAGGGCCTTGTCTGGAAAAACCAGTAGATGACACCATCACAAAAATGTGTTCCACAGTCCATCTTAAGCAATATGCAGTGAAAGGCTATCATATGCTAGAGTCATTCTTTACTCTCAAAACAGAAAGGAGTTAACAGAAGAAATTGTGTGTTTTTTTTTGGGGGGGGGGGGGGGGGTCCAACAAGTGTTTCAAAAAAGTGGTCAATACACATGGATGGTTGTTGCAAGATTTACCAAAAAAACATTCTTGCATTAGGCTTAGAAATGTGTTGCTAATGTGAATATGAGCTTCCAGCTTCCCCAAAATAGAATTACACCACAGCAGTGACTACTGTAACTAATGAAATGACTTGAAGAAAGTTGAGTAAGACTTCATGGATGCCCAATGTTATTCACCTCACAGGTGCCAACATAAATCAGGTTTACACACATTGAGCACCACCCATTCAAAACAGACATTCAATCCCCTGACCCTCATGGTGGCGGCATGCCTGATTCCTATCAACTTCACATGTTACTGGCCCATGGGCTATTTTACAGATACCACAACATCTTCACTGTGGTAGTTTCCACTATTAGAATGTTGACATCTTATCTGTGGTAGTTTCAACTGTTAGAATGTTGACATCTTATCTATGGTAGTTTCCACTGTTAGACTGCTGATCTTTACGCCTAATTCTCATATTCCTAGCAGTGATGTGGACATGTTGCTTACAATATCCTCGGAATGTCCTACCTCTCTAAGGGCACTGACAATGTCTGTGTGATCTA